TTTGAGGCAATGGTCTTGGATTGCACCTCGTATTGTGATTTGGCTTCCAACTTAAATTTTATGCATTTTGGTAATTGGATGGTGTGTTGTGGTAGTTTTGGAACTCTCTAGTGGAATTTACGTGTTCTGCATCTTCTTGAAGAATGGGACGTATATTCGTAGGGTGTCCCATTGTTGCATATATTCCACAAATCGTCACTTGTGGATTTTGTCCCAGGGATAGCTTTTGGACAACGAAAGTTTAATTTATGATTTGAGACTCGAGGTTTGATGTCACCACTTCACTTACTTTTTGATGCGTGTGCCTCTTCATATCTTGGCACGAGCCAAAGTGTTGGGAATTTGCGCCTATGTTGTTGAAGAGTTGTATCATTCGTTATGGAGTTTTGCTAAAGAAATCTCCCCCACTTGAGGCATAAACTAGTCTTCTTTTCATTGATAATAATCCCTCATAAAATTGTTGAATGGAGATTTGTTCTTGATTTTGGTGTTGTGGGCAACTATAACATAAGTTGTTGAACCTCTCCTAATAGTCATGGAAAGTCTCATTTTGTCCTTGGCTGTCACACCCCAAAACCGAGAACGGCGGAATACGTTCTGGGTTGGAGGACGTCATGTACAATATCATTACAATTGCATAATAGTAAAAGCAAGGAACAACAACCATTTCATATATATAGTGATCATAATTACAATTGTGTTCTACACAGTTAATAGACACCAAAAGTATAACAAAATACAACATGAGTCTTGTATATGCTCCATCTTCTCCAAAAGTTGCCATGTACCTATCTGTAACGACATAAATTTTAAAACCAATTTTTCATCTTTGCAAACATCAAAAACATCGATTAATATTTCAAATTCAAACGTAAACAATATTGTCACAACCGAATACATCACAAAGATCTTAAAAATAGTTTTCCCCGATAATGTGTACGATCACGCCGGCGCCTTCCCACGGTCCTCGCTAGTACCTGAAACACATAACACAACAACTGTAAGCATAATTGCTTAGTGAGTTCCCCAAAATACAACCTACGCACATACACCTTTCCAGGCCCTGAGCTTCCGGTCCATGTGTCTCAGGGGACTTCCATCCCGACTGGGTAAACCTTCCGGTCCTACCCACATCAACCTTACGGTCCATATTACAACTGTTGGATTAGGTGTCTAAGCCCATAACTATAATTGGTATGTACTTGAATTGATAGCAGCATAGTCCTTTTGGGTTGCCCTCAAACCTAACAACCGGACAAGGAAATTATGAAAGGAGAGATATTAATTTATTATAAGATTAATAAATTAATATAAATGAATTTATTAATATGTTAAAAGATTAATATATTAATAAGAAATTATTTTGTTTAATTAATTGTTAGCCAGAAATTAATTAGAATTAATTTTGGGGTTAAAAGAATTAATTATAAGGTGCATGGACTAGTTTGCAATTATCTAATAGTTGAGTGGAAGGCTCTAGAACCCCTTGGATAAGGGTGGACGAAATCTTTAGGGGAAACCCTAAAAATTTCGTCCATAGGGCTTGGATAAGGCCCTTGGGTTTGCTTAGGCCCTAAGAAAAGGATAACTAGGGTTTCCCCTAAACCCTAGATCCCTCAGCTATATAAGGAGCCTCCTAGTTCATGTTTTGGTCACTCTTTTCTTTTGAAGAAACCCTAAGGGCCGAAATTTTGCATACTCCCTCTTCCCTCTCTCCTCTAATTTCCTTCTTGCTAGTTTGGGTGTGATTCCATTAGAGGCATTACACTTGTGGTGCTAAGCTTCCAAGAAGATCAAGATCAAGATCAAGGGAATCATCAATTGTTTACTATAACAATTGAAAGGTATGTAATTACTAAACCCTAGTTTGTAAATTTCGATTATAGCCTCTCTCCTCTAGGGTTCTTGTTTTGCAATTCAAAGTTGTATGTTCAATAGATAAAACATAGATCCAAAGTAGGTTGCATGTGAACTTAGGAATTGTTTTCTAGGTTATTTGTTTTACCTAAAACCCATCAGTGGTATCAAAGCCTTTGTTTGTTTTAAATTGAATTGTTATAATTGTTGAATTGCAAATTAGGGTTTATAGCTATTAAACCCTAAAGGCCATTTTTTCGATTTTTAGGGTTGTGGATCAAAGGGTTTTTGAAAACCCTAGCCTCCAAAGAACCCTAATCAAAATTAGGGTTAGGGTTTTGAAAACCCTAGCCTCCTCCCTTGGAAATTTCGAAATATGCTATAAAGATTAAGGTTTCTTTGTTTTGGATAATAGTTGCCTTATTGGATAATTGAGAAAAATAAGGAAATTATCCTACCCCCATATTTTCGAAATCTAGAAGGGATATGGATTAGGATTAAATTAATTGTTTAATTTAATTAGATAATCCTTACAAGATTTAATAAATTAATTAAAATTTAATTAATAGATAAATATTAAATCTAATTAATTGGTTTATTTATAATTTAATAGTTTAAATTTCGAAAAAAATTTATATAAACCCTTGGAGTTTTAAAATGTTTTAAAACACACCTTATATATATATATATATATATATATATATATATATATATATATATATATATATATATATATATATATATATATATATATACAGTGTTGCAAAAATTGGACTACTCGGCTGAGTACTCGGCCGAGTACTCGGAATCGGGCCTCTACCGAGGGGAGTAGTGTCAACTCGGGGAATAAAATCGGTCTAACTCAAAATCGGTCAAAACTCGGTCAACCTCAGTCAACCTCGCTCAAACTCGGTCAACCTCGCTCCAACTCGGGCTACTCGGTCAACAAGTCAAAATTGGTCAACAAAGTCAAATTCGGTCAACGAGGGCAAAATTGACAAAATTATAAAACTTATTTTTGACTTTAAAACAATTACCCTAAAACCTAAAAAACAGGCGGTATTCTCAAATTTGGTTCCCCCTATTTTCTATGAGAATTCGATCTGCTGTGCTCTCTCTCTCTCTCTCGTCTTTCTCTTCTTCTAGCGAATCGAATACTACCAGCCACCAGCAGCAGCGATCGAGGTTCTATTCTACAGTTCGACTAGCAATAATGTGTTCCTGTCTTCCTGTGTTGTGATATTACCAGCGACAGAGATCGATTGTAGACTGAAGAGATCCTTACTAGCGATCAAGGTTTTTTCTCTTAACTCTTACCGTATCTCTCTATGTCGATTTTGGATTTCTTCTTCAAGAACTTGGTTTTTTTATTTGATTTGGTATAACCGTATGTATTTCACATTCGAGCTCGTTTTTTTCGGATAGTGTACTGTTAGTCTGTTAATCTATCTCACTGTCGATTTCGGATTGATCTCGTTTTTTTATTTATTTAAGAACTCCCACAATGTCCTACTGTTACAGTGGGAGTATGTATTTCATCAAGAATTTTGTCCCTGTTCGGCTGTTTCTTTTCCTCTTTTGTGATTCAATCTGTTTGAATTCATCATCTCCTTCGCTTTTCAATATAGAATCTTTCAATCGCCTAACGTCCGATAGTTTTACTGGTTTCAGTAGATAATCTTATGCCCCTTCTTCCAAACATCTGTAAAATCAACCCAATAATATATGTTACATGTCCTACTTGGTTTGTATCAGCGTATCTATTTCTTGATTTCTTTACAGGACACAGGTGTATCAGTGATTCAATGTCTGTATTTAGTGTATTTGATTTCTTTACCAGAGGTCCAGAGTAGAGACTGAGGTAATTAACTACAAACAAGAGGCAGTGGATATGTATTTTATTGTCCCCATTTCAGAACTCATATTTCACAGTTTGTAACTTTGTACGTATTTTTTTTCCTGTTTTCTGTGTAATATGTATGCTATTCTATTTTATCACTTTACGTGACTTTATATATTTGAATGTATTTCGGAATTCAAATTTCCAATATTAGTTTCACAGTTTGTATGTATTTTTTCCCTGTTTTCTGTTTCCTGTTTTTCTTGTTTTCTATTTTCTGAAACAATGTATGTGTTTTAGACTCACTAACTCACTTTGTGTTAGATAGATTTCTAACTGAAGTAAGGACATCAACCACAACAACCCCATCTACTGGATCAACTGTAGCTCACGAGAATGTTAAACGCAAATCAAATGATCCTGGATGGGAATATGCAGTGTGTGTGAATCCTAATAAATTAGAGCGAGTGAAATGCATTTTATGTAATAAAGAGATGGGCGGGGGAATCAATAGACTAAAACAACATGTTGCACAAATTAACGGAAATGTTTCTTCATGCCCAAAGGCCACAAAACATGACCAAATAAAATGTAGAGATGCTCTTCTTGATAAACAAAATAAAAAAAAGGGAAGGTAGATGAAAATGAGTCTTTAAAAGCACAAGTGAATATTAGAAGTAGTGAGAATGAAACCATTACCATCGATGATGATTTGATAGAAGATTCATTTGGCTCTAAGAAGGCTAAACGTTCTTTTGGGCCTATGGATCGGTTTCCAAACACTATCAACCCTCAAAATGTTTCAAACATGGGAAAGAGCAAACAAGAAAATATGTCAAATGTTATTCGTAAGGAACACATGATTCGTGTGAAAGAATATATTTGTAGATGGGCTTATGAATGTGCCATTCCTTTTCATGCCTTTGAAAAGGATAGCTTCAAAATTATGTTGGAGGCGATTGGCCCATTTGGATGTGGGGCACCACCTCCAACTAGATATGAGATGGGAGAAACATATTTAAAGAAAGAAGTAGAAAGAACAATAAATTTGTTGACCCCATACAAAGACGAATGGAAATCTAATGGATGCTCGATTATGATGGACGCATGGTCCGATAGAAAGAGAAGGAGCATCATGAACTTATGTGTTAATTCAAAGATGGGGACCGTTTTTTTGTCATCTAAAGAATCATAGGATGAAGCTCACACAGGTGAACACATAGATGAATATGTTGAAAGTTGTATCAAAGAAGTTGGCCCCGAGAATGTGGTTCAAATTGTGACCGACAATGCATCAAATAATATGGGAGCGGCCAAGTTGTTAAAGGAAAAAAGACCAACTATTTTTTGGACATCTTGTGCAACACATACCCTCAATCTTATGCTTGAAGGTATCCATTTTAATTGTGCTAAGTTTATAATTTAGTGTTCTTTCTTAATTTTTAATAATATAATTAACGTTTTATTTATTTTAAAAGGTATTGGCGGGCTACCTAGGTATAAGAAAATTCTCAACCATGCAAAAACACTCACGGTGTTTATTTATGCTCATCATAAAACTTTGGCCATGATGAGACACTTTACCAAGAAAAGAGATATTGTGCGACAGGGAGTCACGAGATTTGCTTCCGCATTTCTTACTTTGGAAAGTTTGGCCGATAAAAAGGCCCAACTAAAACAAATGTTTACAAGCGATGAATGGGAATCATGTAGACTTAGCAACACCGTTAAAGGGAAAGCCGCATATGACACGGTGGTAAATGCAACATTTTGGACCGGTGTAGCATTATGTTTAAAGGTTTTTGCCCCTTTGGTAAAAGTTCTTCGGATGGTTGATGCGGATCGAAAGCCATCAATTGGTTTTGTATATGGTGAGATTCAAAATGTGAAACAAGAAATTATTAATGCTTTGGGCAACAATAAAAAAGCATATGAGCCTATTATGGATATCATTTCGAAAAAGATGAAAGGAAGGCTTGATACAACCTTACATTTGACGGCTTACCTTTTAAATCCATATTATCTTTATAAGAATCTGGAGATCCAAAATGATATTGATGTGACCGATGCGATTGTTGATTTTGTCGATACAATATATCCGGGAGATCATTCTTTGCAAAACCATATCGTGATGGTTGAGTTGCCGGTTTACATGGGTAAACAAGAAAAATTTAGTCGAGAAATTGCAATTAAAGGATGTGAGGTGAACAACGACAAATTTGATCCGGGTAATATATTTTTAAATTGTATTTATTTTATAAAATTCCAAAATAATAAATTTAACAATGTTTTCTTTTCAACTTGTAGCGAATTGGTGGGTAGCTTATGGTGCATCAACTCCACAATTGAGAAAGATTGCTACAAGGATACTTTCTTTGACAACTAGTTCTTCGGGGTGTGAAAGAAATTGGAGCACTTTTGAAGGGGTTGGTAGTTTACTAAATTTAATTATAATTTATAAGTAGTTTATTCAAAACTTGTATATTTATCAAACTTTTTCTTTTGCTTATTTAAATTTGTAGGTACATACAAAAAAGAGAAATAGATTAGAGGCGTCAAAATTGAACAATCTTGTTTTTGTTCAATTTAATGCAAATTTGATGGAAAATAACAAGAAAAGAAAGACTAAGGATATGGAGGTACTTTTAGCAAAAGATGCAAGTGAGGCTCAAGAATGGATTGTCGAAAATGATGTATTGTTGGATGAAGGTGAGCCCGATGAAGCTATCGGTGACGAGGAGTTTCTACAAAATCGTAGAAGTTCTAGATTAAGAGAACTTGATGAGGAAGAATTTGTGTCGGAGGATGAAGAAGAACTAAATGAAGATGTTGAATATGAATCGGATGGAGTTAACATCAACGAACAAATTGGAGCTACATTAGAAGAGGAAGATTAAATGATTAATCTAAATAAGTAATATTAAAGAATGGTGTCTATTTTTGAAACTATTTAACATTTCAAAATGTATCTTTTGTTGATATTTCACCTAATTTTGTAATGAATTTCAATCAACTAATATTTAAAATTATGATATTTGACATGTATAATTTCCTTTAAAATATTTTTTTTACATGATTTACCATATCCGAGTACTCCCCGAGTCATCCGAGTACTTGCTACTCCTTCCTCGGCCGAGCAGGTGCCGAGTAGCGAGTTCTCCAACCTTGATTGCAAGTATGATAAGAGTGTTTCATGTATTAAATCAACATACTTCAAATCAGGGAGAGAGTCATAGCAATAGAGTAGTTAACTACCAATATTAATGATATTAATGATGTAATATGGGTTCAGGAAAAGTGACCTAACAGTAGGTCTTACATCAAATTATAAGGAAAATGTTGGCAGCCTAGAGGTCTAATTAGAGTACTTTCAAAGTCATGAATGTTTACAAACAAGTGCTCTACCGAGCATAGAAAGAGAAAGGCTATTCCTTAAAAAGGAAAGATAGGTAGACATCTTCTACTGACGATGGGTATTCGTTGGGCGAACCCTAAGTTCATCTACTAGGCAAACCACTTCCTGAAGGTGTCTCTCCTGAACCCTCTGATGTGCTCGGAGTTCTCTAACTTCGGCTCGGGATGTAGCTAGTTGTTGCTGCAGAGCCTCGTTGGTCCTCCTTGTCCTATCCATAGCTTCTTCCAATTGGCGGATGCGGACAGTGTTGAGGTTTGAGTTGGCATCAACCTCCATAACCCGGCCAATTGCTGCTTGACCTTGCTCGACATTTGTGGAAATCCTTCAGACCATAATGGGCAAGACTCGGTCCGCTGATCCTCCTTCGCTTAGGTTGTAGAATCTTCGATCTCCATCGAAAGGAATCGGCTGACCCTGCTCATCGCTCCACCGGTTCAGGGTTATTGCCCACATGGGAGTGGGGCCTTGAAACACTGGACGGGGGTTAGGGTTTGGAGCTACTGGGGGCAGGTTGTTAACTTCTGGCTCGGAGCTAGAGCTATCCGAGAAACCTTCAGCATGGTGATCATCCAAAGGGATCGGGTGATCATTTTCTGACTCCTCGTCGAGCCATCCTCCATTGCCCTGGTTTGGATAATACCGATCGCTGGGATGGTGGAAGCCAGCCATGCTATCTATGCGAGAAAGGGGGAAAGAAAGGTTAATAGATGTACTAATCTAGGATACTTATAAGATGGATCGTTATTAGTCAAGCCAATACTTGCGTAGTGCATACCAATTACATGTAACCAAAGCAAGATAGTCCTTCGAATAAGCAACCCTAATTTCAGATCCACAATCAAATAAGAATCGGAAATGAAGCTAAGGTCACAGATTCTGAGTCTATAGCACCCTAGTCACATGTAATCGTGATGTACCCACTTAGCAACTATTGTCCTATTAATAACGACCCTTTTAGTTATCACATATGTAGTTAGTAGAGTGCATAATACTCCTATAATATTCTTATTCTAACGAACTTCTGGTAGTGTTGGTAAGTTTTTAGACTTGTTTCAACACCACAACCATTTTAGGCACATGCTAGTCACTCCTAGAGAGATGTAGTTGATCAGGATACATCCACCCAGATGTAACTATATGTCTCTAAGCTTAATTGTGTTGTTCAACAATCTTTAATACTTCTGTTTTGTTCTATAATGATACTGACCCCTTTGTATTGGTAAATGTATATCTATAAACTTAATTAAATATTTTAGTACTTCAAAGAATATATATTCTTGGTCAGAGTGTTTTAGTCGCAAAGTGTTTATAGTTCGTACATCTTTTATGGGTTGATATACTTGATTCACTATAAACAATGCTCTGATACCAATCTGTCACACCACAAAACTGAGAACGGCGGAATACGTTATGGGGTGGAGGATGTCATGTACAATATCATTGCAATTTCATAATAGTAAAAACAAGGAACAACAACCATTTCATATATATAGTGATCATAATTACAATTGTGTTCTGCACAGTTAATAGACACCAAAAGTATAAAAAAATAAAAGATGAGTCTTGTATATGCTCCATCTTCTCCAAAAGCTGCCCTGTACCTATCTATCTTTGACCTGAGGGTACAAGTTATTTTGAAAACGAATATCAGCATAAAGCTGGTGAGCTCATAAGAGTTTTGTGTCATTGTAGTATAAAAGTGTTTGCAAACTTATAGTATAAAAACTGAAATTTGTATTTATGAGTAATAGAAATCCCTAGAAAATCCTATATTTTCCACAAAGTACATTTGTAAGTCAATCCTTCGAGTGTGTAAAAGTATGTTTGTTGAAGATTATTGTGTTGCGTCTTGGGCCCTTTTGTTTTACAGTCGGATTGGGCTTGTCAATCCGTGTTTATCTAGATTAGCCTTCTTTTTCTTAGATAAACGGTTAGGGTTTTATTATAAATATATGCATGCATGTATGCGTATAGAAGCAGTCGTCACTCTCATTGATTATTGTAAACCCTAAAATCCTCTACAGTTGATGTTCTTTATCGAGCTCTTCTGAGGATTGTTTATTAAATCATTCGACACCTTTTGATCCATTAGCTTGTTCTTAATTGTTTATCTAGTTATTTCTCTACCTGTTTCATAGATCTAATCGATCTTCAAGTTTGTTTTAAACTTATCAATTGGTATCAGAGCAGGAGGCTGTGTAATCGATACACTTCTTTTCTGTGAAAAAAAAGCTTCGATTAGGGTTATTCCGCATTCATTGATATTTATTGAGCCGTCATCTCATAATTGACGTATCTCAATATTTATTGTTTTTGCCCTAATTTGATATATTACAAGTCTGATCTTTGAACAGGTTATTCGATCAATTATGGACGAGTCGCAATCCAATCCCATCAATATTTCAAACAGCATTGGATCAACAACGAAGATTCCCATCCTGTACAACCATGATTATGAAGTCTGGGCGAATCACTTTGAAGATTATGTCATAGGATCTGAGGATAATGGATACCTCATCTGGGAAGCAATTATCTCTGGACCGTTTTCTCATTCAGCAACTTCAAGGATTATTAAAACTCAAAAGGAGTATAATGATCTTCTGAAAGATGTTAAAGATGTAGCGCAAGACGAAAAAGTTAAATTTCAGTGCAATATCAAAGCGCTAAGATTGATTAGATTTGCTCTTCAATCCGATACTTTTAGGCTAGTAAGTTCATGCACGACTGCAAAAGAGATATGGGACAGGCTATGTGAATTGTACTCTACAGACAAAGATCTTGAACACTCCATTCAAACCTTACTCTTGTCTGAGTTTGGTGAGTTCAAGCAAGGAGCAGAAGAAACGGTGACTCAAATGTTCGATCGCTTCAATCATCTTCTTAGCAAGATGATCAAACATGACATCGAAAGGAAGCTTATTGAACAGAAGGTTATGTTTTTGAATGGACTCAGGTCTGAGTGGAGAGCAATCGTGTCCACAGTTAAAGCACACGAGAAATTCAAATCCTATTCTTTGGCGAAACTGGTGGGCATCCTAAAATCTCAAGAAAAGATCGTACTGCAGGAGAAAACCGTGGTTTCAAGTCTAGGTTCGTTGGCCCTCCTGTCGAAAAGCAAAGCTGTGATAGAGGACGAAGATCTCAACTTGGATGATTATGATCTCTCGTCTGAAGACTATGTTATGATGGTGTCAAACCCTAAGAGATTCATCAAGAAGAGATTCCCCACCAATAGGAACCGAAACTGGCAAGGAAGCTATAGCGCTGAAAAGGTCAAAGATGAACCGAAAGCTGAAGAATCATAGAAGGAACCGAAGGCTGAAGGAGATTCTGGAGTAAGCTGCTATTATTGTGGAGGAAAGAACCACTATGCAAAAGATTGTGTCCTCAAAAAGATGGTAGAAAAGGATGAGGAAAATGATGAAGAAGTTGTGTTGATGAAAAAGCTTGATGAGTTATGAAAGAGGAAATCTGCTGCTAACCCTTCCATGAATGCTTTAATTGTGCAGGGTTCGGTAGCTGATGATGAGGTCGGTGGCGTGGAGGTTTGGTCAACCAACTCTGAAGATGATGAAGTAAGGAAGCCTTCACATGGAAAGGCCTATGTAGCGAAAGAAGAAAGCAGTGGAGGAAGATGCTTGATGGTGTCCGACGTTTCTCAGATGAGAGGATACAACACTGATGGTGGGAATGATGACAAAGAACAGCAGAATCTGTGCTTTACTGCCAAACCACTCAGCGAGCAGTTCAGCGAACTTGATGAATTGATCAAGAAGGTTATCAGTGACGAGCAGTATGACGAAGAATGGTACATTGATAGTGGCTGCTCGCGTCACATGGCAGGGAGGAAGGAAGAACTAAGGGAATTCAGATCTCTTTCAAATGGTGGAAATGTCAAATTTGGGAACAATTCCTTCGGAACCATCAAAGGCTACGGGATGATTACAAACGGTGATTTCTCAATCAGGAAAGTTGCATATGTAGAGGGACTACAACACAATCTCATCAGTGTATCTCAGCTTGTTGGAAGTACTGGTCTCAAAGTCTCATTCGATGATGAAGGTTCAGAAATTATTGAGAAGAAGACGAACAAAGTTATTCTCCAATCAGAGCGCAAAGGTGAAATGTATCCCCTAAATCTCAAACCAATCAAAGGAAACCCAGCCATCTGTTTGTTATCCAAAGCACCATTTGACGAAAGCTGGCTGTGGCACAGAAGACTCTCTCATCTCAACTTCAAAGATATCAACAAACTTGTCACTGGAGGTCATGTGAGGGGTCTCCCATTGCTCAAGTATGATAGAGATCATCTGTGTGCTGCATGTGAAATGGGGAAGCAGAGTCGTCAAAGTCATCCATCCATAATAAACACTAAAGTCGTTGAGCCACTGGAATTACTTCATATTGATTTATGTGGTCCATCATCTATAGAAAGCATCGGTGGTAGCAAGTATATTCTTGTTATTGTTGATGACTTTTCACGTTTTACATGGGTGTTCTTTCTGAAGCTTAAATCTGAAGCGACTCACAAGCTAAAAGTGTTCATCAAGCAGATTGAAGTACAGCTGAAGAAGGTCGTTCGCAACATCAGAAGCGAAA